TATCTCCTACAATGACTAATGACTATTTCTAAGAAAATACTTCTCTAGATTTGTTTGAGCACTTCTCTCTTTTGGTGATAAAATAGACCTAAGGGTGATAGTAATATGTTTTTCTACATTAGAAGTGTCTTGCTTTCTCACATCACTATATGTATTACTGCTGTTTCACATCTTCGATTGCTAACTTGGCTGACAGTATATATTGCTGTTATTGTTGAGTAAACTCACTTTTAACTAATGTACAGAATTCACATTCAAGTGAACAGAAATGTTCTGTAAAGAGATGCCATCATGCCTAGGGATAAATTGACCTATCTTCCACCAAAATAATAAAATGTTCCTATTCATACACAATATTAATTAGTTAATTTATTTATTTATTTACCATGATTTCCATGGTGAGTATTTTGTGTATTGCAATTCTCTTTACTTTGGAAGCAATACTAAAATAATATAAACTACAGTTTTTACAAATTTAAACTTGTATATTGTAATTTATGATGAGCATGAAAATTATAGAGTTGAGTCATATAATTAAATTATTTATTATGTAAATATGTATATATGTTTTATTAATCACCCTAAAATGTCTAATTTTAAGATATTATCATGTAGTTATTTCTTCATTATGCAGCTAATGCTCAGAAAATCTCTAGACATTCAATAGATTTTATCAAAAGCATAATGCTTCTGCTGTTAATCAGCTTATGGTATTACACAATATAGATACAGGGAAGACGTTTCTTGCCCCAAACCAGAGATTATAATTGTTGTCCTTCAGAGATACACTTACATTTTTCTTTTTTTAATTTAAGATTTCAGCTTTAGGAAAATAATTTCTTTGTGAAAAAAAAGAATTTTTAAAAAGCTTCACTTTCTACAAGTTTATTTTTTAAGAAAACCACTTACATTTATTTATGGCATCTTTACAATCTAAATATGAAAGAAGCCTGTCTAATGTATCATAGACTGTAAGTTCTGAGTAATGTACTAGGACAGTTTCACTGACATCTGAATGTTACTTTGAAATTTTACATTGTGCTGGTTGTTTTTTGTTTGTCTTGTTTTTTGAGTATTAGTATTCTTTTATCACACCTACAGAGATGCTTTACATTGAGCTTTTGTTGATCTGGAATCGTAGCACTGTGATGGTTGAATGTAAGTGGTTATAGAAACAAATGCCCACTGCCCTATTCTTTCCTGTTACACTGAGTAACTCCCTTGTGCTTGAGAGTCCTTGTGATTGAGTTACAATCCCTTGTAATTGAGAATAGGAAAAGTGAATAGCACAAGTGATGAAATACGTAAAAGCTGTGTCAGATACGTGAAAATTCAAAAAATCTTTTAAGAGCAACTGTACTGGGAGAAAAATGATCAAACTGGACAAATAATCAAATAATCAAACTGGATGATTATAAAATTATTTTTCCCTTAGAAATCCTCAGCTCAAATTCTGCATGGGCTATTGTATGCTTTTAAAGCAGGGTTGCTACAGTTTTGGCTATTGTTATGGTATTATCAGTCGATATGAATTAGCTCTGTTTGTAGAGGGCTATTAAACAGTATCCTGTGCAAACGCTTGCAATTTGGAATACGGGCCACTACATAACACAGAGCAATAATCTGTATTTATCCAGGTAAATGATACATGCAGAAATCTGAACTATTTTACTCATATGTTACAAAATATTAACAATTTATTTAAAAAATAGAACTCTGATAGATATTAAATGACTTTTTTTTTTTAGATATTATATCACTTTTTAAAAACAACCAAACTACCTAAGAAAGATTTAAATTTATAGGTATATGGTTCCTAACCTTTTATATGGCTCGCCCTTTGGCAATCTTGTAAAACCTATGGCCACCCTTTTTAGAAGAATGTTTTAAAATGCATAAAGTAAAATAAGGTAAATAAATGCAGTTAAGGGGCGCCTGGGTGGCGCAGTCGGTTAAGCGTCCGACTTCAGCCAGGTCACGATCTCGCGGTCCATGAGTTCGAGCCCCGCGTCAGGCTCTGGGCTGATGGCTCAGAGCCTGGAGCCTGTTTCCGATTCTGTGTCTCCCTCTCTCTCTGCCCCTCCCCCGTTCATGCTCTGTCTCTCTCTGTCCCAAAAATGAATAAACGTTGAAAAAAAAATTTTTTTTAAATAAATGCAGTTACAAAAAAAAAATACATTGAAATATATACTCCTAGTTAAAAACCCTAGGTAGGCTCTAAAATATTTTATGCCTTGCAAACGCATATTTCCCACGTTTCAGTTGCTACCATTCAAAATTATTTATAAGTTCTTTATCTTAAAATTAAAATTCACTAAGAATTTAGGTGGAAGTTTTCAAGTTTTATATCTCAGACTCTTAAAGAACCTGCTACGAGATGGGGCATCATAGGTGACACTTAGGCACTGCTACTTTCAACTTTCTCAGCTCTTGTCTTAATTCTTACCTAGTAAGACTTATTCTTACCCTTGAGCGGGAGCCTGTGTTGATCTTCTCTTGTGTTTTCAAAGTTTAAAATATGGTTGCTTTCCATTCCCCTTAACGATCTATGATGAACATTTCAGGAAATTGCCACCTTCTACCCTGGCTCTTTTTGTGTTTCACTGATTAGCCAATTCTCCTTTCATGCTACAGAAACCAGATAATTCATATTATTTATGAATATGGAGAGAATAAATATAAGCAAAATTTAAAATGTTGACACAGTCCTCAAACAGCTCTTCCACTAAAGAGGAATTTTCCTAAGGGATATTGCCTAAAGAGTGACCTATTTGCTTTATAAGTAGCGGTATCCTTTTAAGGACATTGAACACAGCAACAAATTTGAAATAATTCTCCGGATTTCACTCACAATCATGTATTTCAATTTTTAAAAATGTAATGTCAAAGAAGTAAAAATGTATGTCCTAACATATTACTTTTCACTTGGAAAAATTGCTTGATAGGATCAGAATAAATCAAATTTTGCATAAATACATGAGGGATTAGCCTCATTTTATGTTAGGGTGGTCATAGACATTCTACCAAATTTTGTTGCTATGTCTTACAATGAGATAAGCTTATTGTTAACGTAATAGGAAATCTGAAAATAATGTAGTTATTGATACTCTCCAAAAAGATAGGCTTTAAGGACTCTAAGGGATATATGTTACGTTGCTTCTGCTTTTTTATTGTGGTGAAGGTATACAAAGATAATGTACGTTAAAAACACTTAGCAAACTATTGAGCACATTTATTTCTAAAGAAAAGTGTTTTCTCTCAAATAGTTTTTCAGGAACAAAAATAAAATTAGGATTTTTTTTTATACTTATCAGGTTGCCTTTTTCATCTCTGTTTTTGAAAGTAACTGAATATGTTATATGTATTTATACTTGGTATATATCAGCTTTTTTTTGACATATCCTGGATATACTTATATAAAAATGCTAAACTTAGGAAATCAATCATATCATGGTATATAGTTTTTAAAATATTTAAAAATGATTTTTGACTTCTGTTACCTTGTGAATTTAAAGTGTGAGAGAATCACAAGATATGTTGTAGAATAAAAACCCAGCACTCACTTCATAAAGTCCTCTAATCTCATGTGTGCTGGTCTAAAATTGTGTGCCATGTAATTAATTACATGTAGGAAATTGTGTCCTTTCTTATTTTTCTTTAATTGCCTGCATTTTTCATTATCAACAATAAGATTGAGAGAACTTACAGAGAAAGTGGAAGTTCTTTACATTAGTCTTGGGGGAGACTAATGCTTGGTCCATAATACAGAAACATTTCCATTTCTGTGGTTACAACTAGATGGAGAGGTAATAATTTTTGTAGGTATTACGTTGGTATATGGAGCTCTTGAGCCAAAGTTAGCGTTCTTGTGTTCTTAGGGTTGTGTCGCAGAAAGTGGGGCTGGTGTTAGAAAACACTTATTGATCACTTGTTAGGTGTTAAAAGCATTATGTTTGATTCCAGAGATATAAAAATCAGTAATGATGGGTTCCTCACATTTAAGTATACTTCTTTCAGCAAGGATTAGGTTTTGATATTGGACTTGTTTGTGGTCAAAGAGATCACACTGTTTCAGAACCATTATTATTTCAATCAGTTAATACCCTTCTGAATTGTTGGGGTTTTTTTTTAAATGTTTATTTATTTTTGAGAGAGAGAGAGAGTGAGCAGGGGAGGGGCAGAGAGAGAAGGAGACACAATCTGAAACTGACTCCAGGCTGTAAGCTGACAGCAGACAGCCCAATGCGGAGTTCAAACCCAGGAGCTGTGAGATCATGACCCGAGCCCAAGTCAGACACTTAACTGACTGAGCCACCCAGGCATCCCGATACCCTTCTGAATTGCATTGGTTGGCATTGCTAAAGTGCCCCGAGATAGGTGGCACAGATTGGCTGACTAACCAGCTTTCTGTGATTTTTTTCTTGTGGACCATGTTTACATATGGCTACAGCCTGCAGGGTTGCAGTGGTTTCTTAACAACCTTTTGATTCTTCTGTTGGAATGTTGGGATGTATCACTATACTATGTTTGTGCTGAAAGCCTTTTAATATCTCAGCTGACACGCTAACAATCCGCCTTAGGGGCTTTAGGATTAATGCTTGTATGTTCTTCACTCTCGTGAAAATGTTAGGCTAAGCCGTTGAATTCTTGGAAAATAGAATACTTCACATATTTCACATGTTTCATTTAGGGAATTCATTTTGGAACACAGGCAGTTTTGGTTGTCATTGATTATAACTGAGCAACTCCTGTCATCTCCACTGGGAATGCCATTAGAGGCAGATTGGGGTTTCCTTAGAAATTCTTAAGTTTAGCGAGACTGGCTCAGAATATGTTGGGGAAGAGAACTTTTTTTTTTTTTTTTTTTTTTTTTTTTTTTTTTTTTTACAAATTCGATAATTTTAAACAATTACCTTTTTCAAAATCAGTTTGATGCATCATAACCAAATAGCAGAAGGGCACTAAAGATCAACTGAGCTGCTTTTTGACTAACATTTCAGGGATTGTGAAGCAGCAGATAGACAGCCATATCACAGATCCAGACCAACAGAACAACGGCCTCTCCTAGAGCGGACCACCGCCCGCTCCAGATCCACTGAGCGTCCTGATACAAACCTCATGAGGTCGATGCCTTCATTAATGACTGGAAGATCTGCCCCTCCTTCACCTGCCTTATCGAGGTGAAAGATAAATCAATCGGACTAACCTCCCCTTTGCCCCTCCAGCACACCTATTTATTTTCCCAGCAGCTAAATGGTCTCTTCTATCATCCTTGGCTGATCACTAATAACAATTGATACTAACCTTTTCAGTGTAAGCACACTATTTATATTCAGCGGATATAATAGTGTGTGGCTACCATTGTAATTTGTTTTTAACTGTCCTGACCACATCTGTTTTGTGATTTCTCATTTATCAGGAGTCCTGGGTAAATCCCCCCATAATGCACTTCATAACTATCATGTTCTTCTCCTACAGAATGAGAAATTGTTTGTGTCCATTAGACATCACTTTTGGAACAATCATCATAATGACAATAAATAAAGCTAGATTTTTAGTTTCTTTCTATCCATACTAGTATCATGTATTAACCAGTGTCTTCTTTAGTTGAATTTTGAATTGTTCAGGGTTTTTTTGTTTTTTTTTTTTGTAGATTCATGAGATATTTTCTAATAAAGGGATATCCAATATAAGCCTGAGTAAAAATCTCCTTGGATAAAGGGAGGGAGGTTAGTGCTGAGAGTTTGAAATCTGGTAGAAAGAAATGTGAAGCATTACTTTTTATTTTTTGAGCTGCAGAACTCCTGTTGCTTGCATCTAGATAGAATACTAATTTACATTTAACAATTCCATGGATGTTACTGTAGGATTCTGTGTGCATGTATCTGTGTATGTATGCATATTACACAAAAGTAGAAGCATCTCTTGACAATCATTCAAATATCCATATTTTGTCCTTCTTTCCTAACCTTTTAATCAGCAGCTAAACGTCTTTTAAAATTGCACTTGCACAGCTATCATATGAACCAAATGTGTTAAAATTATTTAACTCACGCTACTGAAAATGAACATCGATGATGTATCTTGTAGGTCTCATCCTCGTACTGGGTCTGTCCAAACAAGCCCGTCCAGTACTCCAGTAGCAGGACGAAGGGGCCGACAACTTCCTCAACTTCCACCAAAGGGGACACTGGAGAGAAGTAAGTTTTATTTCTAATTATGTCATATAGGAAATACACATGGAAGCTAAGGTGAATCAAGATTTTTTTTTTACTACCTTTGTGTTAGTTTTCTTCTTTTGTTAATTGAACGCCTTAGCCGCATTTGCTAGTAGTTATATTTATAAATATATTTATAAATGTTACCTGTTTTGCACTTAAAATTTGTAATATTTGGAGATAAAATAACCTTCCGTTACTGCTCTTGCACATTTTCAAGATTTGAGTAAATGCATTTTAAAAAGTAAACTTAATGCTCTTAAATAAGCAATTGGATGATATTTCTTTGCTACAATTAAGTTTATGTAATTGTTGATAGTTACATAAAGTTTATTAGTAACTAGCCAAATCAATTTTCACACACTGCAAAGGACTGGTTAGCTGATGCACAACAATGGTGATCCTTCTCAAAACTGGAGTGCCAGAAAAAAGGTAATCATGAATATACAAAGAAAGATGCATGTTGTACTGATATTTTAAATACTTTCAAATTTTTGCATACGAAGCACTATTTGTTTATACACAGATGAACATACTCCCCAAACATCTATAAATTCTGGGATAAAGGACCTCTAAAAGCATGGATGATAGAATATAATAATTTTCAACCTCGTTTTTTAAATGGTCCCTTTATTTAGTAACTGGATGTGCTTTCCCAAAAAATACATATATATTTATATATATATTTAAATCACCATTTAACTTTTCTTTAATAGATGATACATACATTCTGTATCTTTGGAAATTTCTGTTGTTTTTAACCCCTGTGCTTTGGTTCCCTTTTTTGTTTTGTTTTTATTTTGTTTTTCCTAGACAATGGAGTCAAGGAGATAGAACCTTATGAAGGTCTGTACATAAAGGAGGGTTTGTTTTATGCTGACAGCCTTTTTGGGGGGCTACGGAAGCAAAAATAAACCCAACTGCAATTGATGTCCCTCCATTGTAAAGACTTTTATTTACAGTAAAATGGTTTTGTTTTATGATTTTTGGTAAAGCACTCAATTTTTGATTCACTTGGAAATTATGCCAGGGAGTTAAATTTCTTTGCGTCATTGAAGTAAGAGTGCAAAGAGTTGAACTTTTCTTAAGTGAAATGTTCTGTTGCACATCTTTTCTTAAGATAAAATGTTCTGTTTTTAAATTTTTTTCATCTGCCTTTCAACCAGAATTTTGTTTAATGCAAGACCTTAAGCAAAGATATCAATTGCAGTCTGTGTTTATGTTACTGAAGATGTACACCTAGTCTAGTTCCTCTTATCATCAGATATTTCATTTTGTATTTATGATGATCTTTTAATTATTAAATTTGTCTTTCTAGAAAAGAAAGTTGTTGAATTAGACAGTGGTTGTGGTTTGTATTCCCTACATCACCTTTCATGTTGTACCAAGACTGCTTACAGTATACCAAAGTTAAATATGTGCAGTTTTATTATCAATAGTACATTATGACTCAAGAGAAAATATTGAGTCATGATCTATGGAGTGTCATACATTCACTAAGATAATAAAAATTCCTCTGCCAATGATAGAATTCTAAAATTAACTTTGTAAATTTAAGGAATTGTTCACTTTTATTTACGAATTTCCAGCACGTAGAATAATGCCTGGCACATTGTAGGTCCTCGATAAATATTTGTTGAATGAATGCATGAAATATTGTTTAACAATTGAAAAGTTCCTTCACATAGTGCATTATGTATCACTAAAATAATCTTGCCTTCTATAGATGTTTGTATTAAAATGTATATTGCTATCACCTCTTTGTAACAAAATTTTAAGTGCACTACCTTTGGGCAGGGATATTTTATTGCCTTAGATATATATATATATATATATATATATATATATATATATATATATATATATATATATATATATATATATATATATAAATAACTTGGAACAAGTTGTGTTCTTGTTAATTGTTGAATGATTTATCGACTTCTATACTGAGGTTCTTCCTATGCTATGTACAATGATTTTAAACAACTCCATGCTGTTGTGACTAGTGCTAATGTGCTGCCTGATAAGGAGATTATAGCAGCACTTCTATAATTCTCAATTATTTGCATTATAATGGGTGTATATAATTTTAAAAGTACTTTCCAGAAGGAAAGTTCTGTAGAACATATGAAATTTTTTGTCTCCCCAGGATTTTTAAAGATAGAGTTTTGACCTCATTTGTTGGCTTATGAAGTCACAACTTCTTAAAATTCACTTTTAATATCTTTTATAGCCATAGTCTATTGAGATATGAGTAGTTCCATTCTTTGTAATAATCAATCTACCCGAAAGCCAACATAGAGCTGATAATGAAAGTCAGGGTTGAAGAAGTTTTTAACGGGCTTGTCAACATTCTATATACCATCTAGTTTCTGCCTTGTAGAGTCTATTCAAACCATGATTTTCCTTTAATGTCCCTTTAATTGTAATTCTTTTTTCTTTTTTATAAGTAAAAGAAAGGAGAGCCTAAACCACCCTTGTTATTTCCACTATGAGACAAAAGGACTTGTTTTTCAGTTTTTTGTTTGTTTTGTTTTGCTTGAAGGTATGGATGATTTTAACAATGTTTTTGTAAATGTTGATATGAACACTTAAGTAGATACATAATTGTGTAATTTTCTTTAGCTTTAAAGGAGATATAAAATACCTCTTTTAGAAGTTTCGACTTCCCACTGATGTTAACGGTACATGAGCCAAACTAGGCTATCAATAGGCGGTCTAAATCAAATTATGTCTGGATTATCACTTAAAAGTTATCAGAAGATAATTTAATGGCATTATTTCAAAATCAAAGTAATGACACATTTATTTATCTAATCCTGTTCAACAGCTAAAAAATGATCAACTCCTAGTTTAATTCCTTTTGATTTGGGTTATATTTTAGTCTATTAATGAAATTAATTTAAAACTTTATATATGTTGGTTTTCATGATGGTACAGTGTTAGTTACCTTCTCCTTGTTTGAGAACCAGAGTAAACAGGAGCAATGTAAGAAAAGTACAATGTACTAAACAACTGTTAAGGTATTATTATTTTTTTTAATTTTCTCCAGACCTTGATGTACTGGAATTTTGTAAAAGTAAAAAAGAGTTTATATATCATTTTTTGGTTCTGTAACATAAAAGGTGCATAATATTATTTTTCTAAGAATATATCAAGCTTATAGACAAAGTATTTTGACTACTTTACACAGTTATCACATACCACAAATATTTTAGGGGCCACAATTACTCTTTTACAAATCAAAGTCAACATAAAAGAAGACAATATGATAATTTATTAATAAAATACTTATTTACTTACATAACATGTCAGAAACTTATTAAATAATCTCTTAGTCTCCTTATCGTCACTCACTATATCATGAATAATGTGACATTTGTGTCACTGAGAGTAACAAATATATACATCTGGTCTTATTTTTTTCTTTACTTCTGCAAATACAGAAGTTAATGAAGAAACGGGGCATAAGGAAGAGCAGTGGGGAGAAAAGCAGGGTGAAGAGGTCAAGGCAGGTCTGTCTGTGTGTCTAAAATAAATAACTGAATGTTTGGGAAGTATGACTTTTCAATTTCATGTAAGAATTTAGGCTCCAAATTTATAAATGTGCAATAAAGAATAGATTGTTTTTCAGCACTAATTTTTAAATAAACTGTCTAATTTTATTGATGGAGAAATATTACATAAGCTATCTAGATAACTTATCAGAATATTTGATTTATCCATTGGAACATGTTCCTTAATGTTAAAATCAAACTAAAATTGTAGACAATGCATCTGACCAAATTTATACCTATCCTTTACCCCAACTCTGTATTCAATTCATCTGTTTATTAAAAACTGTTTGAGTATCTACTGTGGGTTACACTGAGTAGAACTATATTGCAATCGTAGCCTCCTCTCTATAAAAATTTTGGTTCTGTAGAGGCAAATTGTAAGTAAATATAGAGCAGAATATAAATTCCATTAAAGCTTTTAGAGGCTACCTCTATTTTCTTCATCATTTTTTCCTAAAATAAAAATTTACCATACATTCCTGTTTTCATCCCAGCTCAATATTGCTCTAATGTTTATTGACAATCATAATTTCTTCCCAAAGAGTCCTCCTTCTAAGTGGTGTGGAAAGAGCTTTCATTGTGTTTTTTTAAAGTCCCTATTACATTTATATATCATAATATCTCTTTCTCTATATTAGACACTCAGTATTGACATTTGTGATACGTGTGAATATACTTTCTTAAATTAAATAAACATAAATATTCTAGTACAATCCTATTCTATTGAAATGTGTGGCATTAAAGTCAGAAGTTTGGCTTCGTTGGGCATGTTAAGATTCTGAGGAAAAAAAAGTGATGGTCATGTTATTTGCCACTTTCTTTGTCAGAATGCTCCTGAAAGGATTTAAAACTTAAAATGTTACATAATCAGTAAATATATGTATATACTTCTTTTTTCAAATTATCACTATTTTTCTTTGAAACACTCAATTGAATCCTAATCTTTTCTTAGGTGTCAGTTTAAAATTTTTTTTTACTTTCTTTGAACGATAACTTTAGACCTAATTTTACCCTGTTTAACTCATCACTTTTTATTCATGAACAGTACAGTCTCCTTTATATGCCTTATGTTCTCTCCTTTCTCATTGTGTGAAAGCAATTTCCTTATGTCATCGATGCATTCTGTCAGTATATATAGTATAAGACACAAGACCTCTTAAACTGTAGTTGCTGATTGTCAGTAACTATTTTCAATGTCGAAAGACGAGAAGAATCATCAGAGTGCATCTGATCATGAAAACAAAGGCAAGTGTAGCTACATATTTATAAAAATGTATAACTATCTCTGTTCTGAATAGCTAATATTTTAACGACTAGAATGTCACACATCTTCCATTTTCCTGCAGTGCTATAGGACTAACCTGTTTGGAGCATACCGTAAAAATGAACTTCATTTTAATTTACGTGTGCAATTAATGTTTT